ATAAAAAAATAAATTTCCTGTCCCCTTTGGGGAGAATTTTGATGTTTACTATGTGCCATTTCCTCGCTTTTGACTCTAGACTGGTACAAAATGGATAGTGAAAATTCAGGATGACATTACAGAAATATAACTGAAGTTTAACTGAAAAGGAATGACTCCTGTATTTAAAGTGGGCAAATAAATGAGCATTAAGAAGAAAAGGTGTTCATTAATTTAAGTGATTTGAGAAAATGACTACTTGTTGAATGGGGTGTGCGATAGACTTACCTCCTCGTGGTGCACCCTGGGCAACGTATACTCATACGACAAAAAAGGTCTATTAACCGGCAGTTGACTTCTGACTTCAAACTACCATGACCCCATTGTATGTCATGTTCGACTACTTCCACAGTACTCACATCACCTTTTTTCTACATTTGTGTCTGTCTCTTTTACATCTTTGAAACACTCTTCTGTTCCCCCCCCCCATCTCTCTCGACTTTTTCTCACTTTGATGTTCCTCCTCCCCTCAATGTGTAGCCTGAAGCCAACTAAAAGGCTAATGATAACCATCAAAAAGCCTGCCATTTGATATAAATAAATAAATAAATATTCCCTAGTTAAGAGTTCAAAGCACTAAAAGCCACTTGATCACCTTTGCAGGCGTGAGGATTTCCAGGCGTGGCTGGTTGCCAAGGCGCATCCATATAACCAGGGGCGCAGCGTTCACAGTTGTCACCGGCTGTGTGATGAGCAGGATTGCAAACACACACCAATTTGGGATTCGGACCGTAACCACCAATTGGACGGCAGTCATTACCGTGACCGTTGCACATGCATCTAATGGGCAGAAAAGAAATATGATGATGAATTCACGCGAGAACTAACCACTCCGTAATCAACAACATGGCCAATCACAATGTAGGGCTTAATAGCATTTCGTTATAATCTCCTAACTGTTAAAATCTTGAGTGGTTATGACCGTATCCCAGAACTGCGAACTGCCAGCCCAGAATTCTTTCATAAAATTAAATGGCTACGCTTTTCTCGATTTAATTAAGGTTTTTAGCTAATCTAGAGGTTTAGTATTAGTTCAATCGCCTAAACGGAGTTTAACTTCATAGCAATCCTAGGCAACTTGGCAATTTGAGGTGAACAAACTTCGGAAAACTTTCAAGTAAACGAAATTTGCCAGTCCTCTATATATTTCAAGGAAGTACGTGTATACAGTCAATCTTCGACATTTTCATGCGAGTTTTCAGCTTAGGGTCTTTTGTGTCTACCACTAATTAAATACTATCAAGTATTTGGCACATTTATTGATTATTGCCTGATCAAATTTAAATAACTTAAAAAAAAATTAAATATTTTAAATAGTAAAATTACTTACCGACCACCTACAGTGAGCTTTCGAATAGCAAAGTAGTAGGTGAGTAGGGTATCTCGCTCGGCATTGGCTTCATCACCAAAAGTGTGCATCTTCTGCAACTCCACCTTGATTTGACTGGCCGTACTCCATTCCTAATCCGATTAGAAAATAAGAGTGATTTTTTTCTTTTTTTAATGGAAGGCTTTTCAACAATCGTGTTATGCAGTGGAAAGCCACTTTGATGTCTCAAACAAGTATTGCTCAATGTGAAGGAGTGTTTTCCACTTCTTAAGCACCCACCATTCCTATAGTAGTACTGAAAAACCTTACCTGAAGAGCAGGTGTGTTGAAGAAGTCGTCTGTTCCCGGACGTCCATTGATGACGGAGAAGATGACCTCGCCGTCGTAGAGGGGCTGGAGGGTTGAATACTCCTCCCGACAAATAGCCTCATCAGGCCTAGTGAAAGTCGGCATCGCCTCGTAGGTCATGTTGAAGTAGGTCAAGCAGTTGCTAGAGAAGTAAGCCCACGGAGTCCAAGGCGACTGGTCGTCCGTCTTCTTGTAGATTACCATTGCATGCGGTCGTGGTGACTTGAATTGCAAATACACATAGTTGACGTAGAACTTGGTGCCTATGATAAAGATCAGAGATACCAGTCAATCGACTGTGCCGCAAAAGGAATATTATTCGTGTTTAAATTGCTAATATTCGCACAGGATGAAGATCTGAAATTGTTTAATCAAATGGCATAAATGGGATTTTCACTATATCGTGCTTTACTGCTTGTTAAATAGCATTAGAGTTGGCTGATGCTCAGACACAAATGTAACTTCACATCAAGCTTTATTGGAATTCTAAGGAATGTTTTTTCTACTTCTCCTCCTTTCTCACGATGAATTACTGAATAATTAATAAAATAAAAGCAAAAAAAGAGTGAAGGAGATGCATTGACAATAGAAAGTGACAAGTTTTTTTATAGGAAAAAGAAGTAAATTCCAAAAACATTTCAGCAATTTTTAAGGCATTTCAAGCAACTCTCCTTTCGAATTGGGAATTTCTCGCTCACGGGCAATTAGACTGACATGATTATTCACAAAGTAAGGCATATTTGAGTGATGGTGATGATAATTTTGCCTTGGTGACAATAAGCACTCTCAAATGTAAAACTATAATTTCTTGTTATTCTTTGGTGCTTTTAAGTAACACAATTAAAAAACAATTAAAAAAATAAACGACTATTTAAAAATGATTTCCACAACTCCTCACAAAGACAAAACCCGGTGGGGAAATTAAGTAGAATTTAATTTCTGTCAGAGTGAGGAAAGAAGTATTTAGTCCTGTTGAATTTAAAATTAGATTTTGGATTTTCAGTAACTAAGCTTAAAAAAGCACACATTTAGGAAAAATAGTTGTGAATACTTTTACAAGTCTCATAGTTGTCAAAATGCGAATAACCTGTAAACCCATGATTGTATATTCGAAGATGGCAATAGTTAAACTTAATGGGCACTTATACACGATCATTCGTTTACTTAAGGTCTATAAACCGGCAGTTAACTTCTCAATTCAAACTACTGTGTCATATTCGACTATCTCCACAGTACTCACCTCACCTTTTCTCTACCTTTGTGTCAGTCTCTTTTACATCTTTGAAACACTCTTCTGTTCCCCCTTCCTCCCTCACGAAATTTTCACTTTGATGTTCCTCCTCCCCTCCATGAAGCCTGAAGTCAACTAAAGGGCAAATGATAACTATCAAAACGCCTGCCATTTGGTATAAATATTCCACTTTATTAAATGGGTAATAAATATCACAAATGATGAATTATATTTCTTGATGTTATGCTTAAGCTATCTTTTTCCTGCTCTCTAGTACTAATATGAATTATTCTCAAAAATAAATGGATAATGTAGCCTTTCATACACATACAACTACAACAATGAACAAATTGAATTAATTAATTAAGTAAACTTTAGGAATGCATGTGTGTTGAACGATCAACTGTGTGTGTGTATTTGTATATGCGTAAACGCAAAATCGAGAAAGTTTGCAAAATTTATGTGAAGGAATGGAGAATGTGAGAAGAAAGCCCCCTGTGATTAGCATGCCTTGCAATGTCACCCCATTCAACTATTGTGTATATATACGCGAGCGTGTGAATGGCCGAAGATCACGACAGGCGTAAACAAACTTACTCCGCGCGGTCTACAAGCTACCTGAGAACGCCAAGGTGGCCTGCCAAATGGTGCGCGCATTGCATCACTAAAGTTTTCTTAGTTTACCCTCAAATTGTCCCACTGGGTCGAGGGTCAGAACCTTAAGATATTTAGAGCCGAAAAAAAGATGGACAAAATGATTTCGCCAAAAATTTAAATAAGACAATTCTTATTTAAATCAAAATAAGCCAATAGAAATTAGAAAAAAAAATCGATTAAATTTCCAAGGAATGAATTAGTGAAGTAAAACATGATAATACTTCTTAAGAATATTAGAATCGCAATGAATTTATAGAAGAAAAATATTTTTCTTAAAGAGCATTTATGAATTTATTAAGGAGCTAAAAACGCACCCAAATCGATCGTAAGTGTTACGGATTCGTTGAAATGAAGATTTGGATTTTCATCCATTGTTTCAGATTGCCACCAGTTGTTCTGGTTCCGATCAGTCATGAAACTGGAATCATGACTTTCGCTAGGATTTCGTGCATCACAATATTGACATCGACTAGACATGGCTGCATTCGACATGTGGATGCAGAATTTCTGTCTTCTGGTGATGCCACAAGTGTTTGAGGCATTTACTAACCTCCCTGCAGCAGCGCTGATAAATGGTGGGTAGCAGAATACTGCTTTGCCATATTGATCAACACATGATCCTGCATAGTTTTCCCAAACTTTAGGTTCTTGTTGAAATGAAGAATTAATAAAGTAAAATAATAAGACTAATATTAGGAAAACTCTTGTCCGGTTAAACATTTCGAACAAGATTCAAAAAGTGTGAATGGTGAAACTAATTAATCTGTGCTGTAGTTAAACAACCGAAGGTTGCGCTTTATTGAATAAAAAATTTCTATAATCCATAAACGAGCTATTTGATTTAAGACAACATTAAAAAGTTGGGAAATAAATGTTGCTATAGTTTTTGGACATGCTGAATTTCTGTAAATATTTAGAATGGAAATCTAATAAAGTCTAGCATTGCGTCATATACGGAGATTTGACTCACTAAACATTTAATTGACTCAAATTTGTATATTGAAATACAACGAGAAAACTGTATGAAGTTATTGGTTAGCCCATTTTATCGTAAATATTGTGATGATACGCTATAGCATGAAAGTATGCAAAAGCAAATTCCAATCAACCAACACTTTATTAAAGTGAAATTTATTCATTCATAGAACGTAATAAGTAGGCGTAAATATGAGTTCCACTTAAACTTAAAGAGAATATGCACAGGAAGATATTGGGAGACCGAGTTAATTGTTGAGTAGCTGTAGGATCTCTTTGCCAACCAGTAAGACAAATAAATTTTGCGTAGAATATATGCGTATATAATAAAAAAGAGATTTGAGGGAGGAATTCGAAGAGTAATACGTTTTCGGGAAAATTGTCCAAAACTTTTTGCGTGCGTAAGAATGCATATTATTTCATTTCTCATTCAAAAATAGTCATAAAGATATAACATGAAAGCCGTAAGGCATTAAACAAATTATATATCTCCAAAAGTTTTCAGAGGGACATATTATTAAAATCCAGTTATGTTTTCAAATATGCAATAAATGATTCGATATTCAAGTTGACACATTCAAATCGAGCCTTACATCTTTCATTGTTCTTTTTAACATATTTATAAAGACATTATTATTATTATTCAATAAAATTTAAAATCTAATTTACAAGACTCTCACTCATATTTTATATCTCACCATGCCAAAACAATATAATTTCATGAAAGAATATTGCGAATTTAAAAAGATAATATAATTTATGCCTTTAGTCTAAGCAAAATTGTTTTAACATTGTTCATAATCAATAAAGTTGAACTCTATTGTGATTTAGTAAAATATACGATAAAATTGTTTCCTTGTCACTAGACTTTCTCAATTAACAAAATATTAATAAGATTATGCTACGTAAAATTACTTTGTTATTAAAGTTACTGAAAGACAAATTCGAACGCATTATTTATTTCACTTTTGTCGGCTAAAACTAAGATAACCTGAAGAAAAATACCGAAGACAAGTTTGCATAACAAAAATTTAACTTTGAATTCCCTTGAAAAATCAAAATATAAGGTTATTTTCGTTTTTAAACACCCGATCATACTTGTAAATGACTAAAATAATTTATTAGTTTTTGTGATTGTTTATAATAGGCTTAAATTGATCCGCGCTACACTTATCCGCCTTCTGTTGCGTGATCGTCTGAATATGGCTGAGGAAAATGCTAGTGCTCCTGCTAGTGCTCCCGCTGTTAAGCGCGTTAGACATAAGCAACCAGGCAGGCTCTATGTAAAGGCTGTTTTCACTGGTTATCGTCGTGGTCTCAGAAATCAACATGAAAATACTGCACTTCTGAAGATTGACGGTGTTCACACTGCAAAGGAAACCGAATTCTATATGGGAAAGCGCTGCGCTTACATATACCGAGCTGAAAAGTAAGATTCTAATTTTGATTTGTTCATTTTTGCAGGAAAAAGCAGCTTCCAAGAAGGCACAAGCCCACAAGAATACGTGTTGTCTGGGGAAAGATTATTAAACCCCACGGTAGAAGTGGTGCTGTCCGTGCACAGTTCAAGCGCAACCTTCCCGCCAAGGCTATGGGTCAGCGCATTCGTGTAATGCTCTATCCTTCACGTGTGTAAATTCAATAATATATCTTTTGGCAAAATATCGGATGCATCATATTGTCTTATTGTTTAATATGCTTTTATTCTCAATGGCATTGTCGGTTTTACAACATTAAACGTTGATTGTAGTGAATTCTTGGATTGTGTAATTATCATGTTTGCGGGTCTTTGGGGCATTTTATGAACACGTCAACAGATGTTTCACTACCCGATTGGTGATGCAATATGTTATCGCTAGGTTTCGTTTATTTGCTTTGTTTTTTTTAATAAGAGTGCGCGTTATGACTATATATTTACTTTGATTTTTAATGTCGATTGTGTAGCATCAGTTATGTTAATGGACGCCTTGGCGATGGCTATTAGTTACTAAGATTTAAGGGCTGCGCTATGGGAAGAAAATGTTTAATTTTGGCAGCTTCTTTGGTCGTTATTAGGCCTTAATAATAGCGGTTTTGTTCTATTCTTTGTGTAACGTATTGTCTAAGTTAATGAATGGGTGTAACATTTATTGTCATAAAATAAGTGTAAACGGCAAATACAAAACTTTATTTCAAAAGTGAAAGCCCAACAGAGTAACCTGGATTAAAAATGACGTGGGAATGTAAATGAGTAACTGCGTTAAAATGTGTTCAGAACATGATGCAAGGAAGTGTGAAAGTAACTGAAGTAGTGCTTTGAGGGCATCATTCCTCATATACTCGCGCAAGAAGAGCCCGGAAGAAGTAGGACTGAGCTTTCAGAATGATGGAGAAGTCCTCTAGTCTTTCATCTACAAGAGATATAGTCAGATATACGCATGCGTAGACGTTTTGATGAATTCTATTGATGTCATACCCAGTTCGTCCGTTTCGTAGAGGTCGACTATAACTCCTCGAAAAGCATTTGAAAGGGAGTCCAGAAATTCCTGTTTGTATGCGTTGCTTGTGGATTGAACAGCAATTTCCACTAGTTTTAAAAGTCCTGAGAGGTCCTCTTTAATTTTCACCTAAAATACGAACTCAAAACACGTCACCGATAAAGCACTTCCATATTTGTCAAGCAGACGCTGAAGAAACTGGCTCAAATGGGATAAGCCAGAAGTGCATGTTATTTTAATCAAATTAAGCAGGTGGTATTTCGATTGTTAAACTAATGTCTCTGATAGTTGGTTGTTCAGGTGTCTCATGAATGTAACGGTTTAAAATTCTTCTCTAAGTGCAATCCTACTGAAGCAACAACTAAATGACACCTTGGAAAGTATCATAAAAAGTGTGCAAAATTTAAGCATAATTAATTGTCCTGAAGAAATCTCAAAATCAGGAGATCTGTTTCGTTTGGGCAATGAAAACATCAATGACAAAGTTACAAGCAGGAGCCAAGAGAGATTTTATTGGCTATCAGGCAAAGAGCCCAAAACTGATTACATTTTACTAAATCGATCATTTCGAACTACCTCAGTAAGGAAAATTGGTTAATCCAAATTAATTCCTTCATATTTGCTCGGAAAAAAAGGCCCAGGAGATGAAAAGATCGATAAATTCACAGAAAATCAAACACCTGGAAAGATTTGTGTACCTAATTATTGATTTCTCATAGACCACCAAGAACGAAAGGGCTAAAGTGAGAATTGCGGATTTGTTTTATCATGCAAAAACAACTACCTGAACTAGGCACAAAGAAGTGAGAATAACGGCCAACTCCGCCACTTGTCCCTTATTTGCTTTGTGCTGAACAGCCAAAGATGCGAGTTGGGGTCCTAATGATGACAGTAATCAGCGTTACTGTATATATATATATATACATACATATAGTGGGTTTGAATGGAAATTAGGTAGCAAGAAAGCTCACCGGCTGAATGCAAAATGCATGCAACATTTTCAGCTAGCCAACTTTCTGGAATATTTGTGATTTCATGAAGGACGGCTAGCGTGTCACAAGCTGACCAATGGCCAGATAACCAAAGACTATTGAGCGCACAACCAAGTTCACCGAAGCATGCCGACAATTGTTTTAAATCAGCAGCAGTATTCTCGCACATTATGCTCCACATCAGACGCCCTGAAATTAATATGAATTTTTTTGGTAAATTGGACCAAACATTTAAATTGGAGGGCGTGAAATCACCTTTGTGAACAGGTCCATAAAGTATGAAGAGTAGACGAGCTTGATGGACAAATGGGTATGAATTTAGTATACTTGCCAGAAATCTTGCCGTCGGCCACGAGTACAAAGAGCATTGTGTTGAAGCATCATTGCTGTTATTAGCCATTTTGGATGTTTTAATAAGAGGCGTAGATGTTATTGGACCTGATTTAGAAGTACTTGGTTGTGGAACGGAACCCATATCAAAGCTAGAATTTTATATAAATTAAATGTTAACTGAAATCCGTAAAAGTGGTAAAAACAGGACTCAAATTAATACCTGCTATCAAAAAAACTTATACTATCAGACGAGACGTAACCAGAAGATGCAAGTAGATTAATGTTATTAGAAAAAGTGAAATATTTTTGTGAACTCGAAGATGAATTATTCGAATTGCTAAGATCAATCCATGTCGGTCCTTCATTTAATGGAAGACCGTGGGGATCAAGGAAAATCCGCCTTAGGAAAAGGCGAATAGCTAGTTCTTCTTCCGGACATTCATCAGGCCTTTTTCCTAGCAAGGTTGTTAATCTGAGCCAAAAATTTTGCCCAAAGCAGGTATGGACAAGGGAGTGAAAGACACGTTGGTATTCGGTAGATGAACTTCTTTGCAAAAACGATTTGAGAAAATGACCAAAGTAAAACATTGACGGACAACGAAGCTGTCCAATTATGCACGAGCCTCTTATTAGAAGACTTTTACCATATTCCTTGTAGGTGGAATTCTTCCCTCTTGATCCGCTGGGATTCTTTGGTTCAAATCCGTTGTGGCAAAGATACTAAATCAAATAGATAAAATGAGCTAGCATTCCTACCGTTTGTAAAATACTATCCAAAAATTGTATCTTAGTTATTAGAGAAGAAAAACAATGTATGCGGCGGAACAAAACACCTACGAAAACAGTTACAAGAGCAATTAGAAATTTACCAATCCGTTTATAATAATCAAGACGGTCGTTAACGTCTCCCACCTTATTGGGTTCATTGGGTGGATGTGGATTTCGAAAATTGCGAAGTTGATTACAGCGTGAACTAGACACAAAACTATTAACAAAAGAACGGCCAGATCGACAAGTCAAAGCAACGTTCGACAAATCAGAAACTAGACAAAATTATTAACTCAATTCAGCATACCTTGTAGAAAAGAAAAAATATGGAAAAGTATTTCAGCTGGGAATCGATCAAAAATTGTGCGGTGAGCATCAGAAACATGGTCCTTGGCAGAAGAATTTGTGTGTTTAGATAGTTTAAAGGGAACATCTTTGGAGGTGCTTGATAACACAATTCGCTTCATGCTTCTGATATGAAAATTAACGCTTTGTGGTAGTCGATATGAAAAATAAACTTATCAACTGCCAATGAGCGATAACTCAATGCACCAGAAGGGAATTCGAAGGTGTTACAGTAGTCCAGTTAATAAAAACTGAAAGCAAATTTCACCAAAAGAAATCGTATTATTACCTCTTATTTTTACCGTAGTTCAAACGCATTTCTTTGAAAGTTGTTTATATAAGGAATTGATCTATGTCTTTACAAAAATTTGCATGTATTTTCAAATAATATATATGAAGTGGTAATTAATATACATGTATTTCAACCAGCATATTATATTTTGAAGTATATTCGTTTAGAATTGATTCATTTTTTTAGGGCTATTTCATAATTCTTGGCGCAGTTAGCCTTTTTATTTAACATTAGGAGAATCGCTGATATGAGTTAACAACGACGACGTTGAATTGTGCTCCAGTTTTCATAACTTATGTAAAGTTGCGATACAAAACGCATTTATTTCCTAAAGTTAATCGAGTGAATAAAAAAGGAAAATTAATGAGCAGTGAGACGATATCAGTTCAAATTATATATATATATATATATATCTTTGACCTGGTGACAAATTTTTGAATGTTACATAATCCTTTAACCAGGCACTCTGCGTGCTACCAATAAATGCCAAATGTAGTTAGTACCAGAGGGTAAAATGAATACTTAAATAATAATTAATTTAAAGGCAATGACAATTAATAAATAATATTTGTATTGTAAGGTTCAGTTAAACTAATACAACAATTTATTCAACTGGTATGAATTGAAATTCCTATAAATTTAAATTTTCTCTTTATGATTGACAGTTAAATGCAAGCTAAAAATTTGACCTTTAGTGCTTTATTTCGAAGCACTTACTTTTATGGATTGGATTTTTATACCCCAAAATTACTCGAGCATAAAAAAATATTTCAGGTGCTTAGATTTGCAAAATGAGCTTTCTATAAAAGTTTAAGGCTATGAATTTCATTTAACATGGCGCATTTTGCTTTACTAAACGAATATCTATTCTTGGTAAGCCATTTAACATTTATATTCTTGTTCCGGTGATTTCCATTTTATGCAGAATATTTGGTCACATTTATAAAAAACATTTTTACTTATTCGACGTCAAAATATTGGAACTCTATTGAAAAATAAAAGTGCTACAGCAAATTTGAGTTGGTTTATTCTGGTATTCTTATTACATTAAACATTCACCTAAGAATAAAACTATGAATAATTCAGAAAATAAGTTGCTTTTTAAGGAAATATGTTTTTGAAAAGTAATTTTGAGTATATATCATATATTTTTATTTTATAAAACATAGTTTCAAATTAATAACTTAAAACTTAAAGCAATACCTCTTATAATTTATTACGGTTGATAATATATATGACTAATATTTAAATGAAGTTTAATATAACAATCGTATGATTAACTTTAGGATGTTTAAAGCATTTTTGTATTGGCGGTTGGTTTCAAATTTCGCACTCTCGCATAAATTTTTACAAAATGGCTGCAACTAAGACTCGCAATCTTATGACTGAGGAGGAATTGATTGAATTAGAAAAGCAAGAGTTCGAGACTGGTCCCCTATCAGTCTTACTTAATGCTGTTAAGAATAACACTCAGGCACGTTTTCTTTGTAATTTTTCACATAATCGTTCGTTTTACTTGCCTTCAATATTTGTAAATTTTTCTATATATTTGTGTAGTCTACTTCGATATCCTTTTCCATCAAATGATTTATTATTATATTTTTTTCTAGGTTTTGATAAACTGTCGTAATAATAAGAAGCTCTTAGCCCGAGTAAAGGCATTTGACAGACATTGCAATATGGTCCTCGAAAACGTGAAGGAAATGTGGACTGAGGTTCCTCGTCCAGGCAAGGGCAAGAAAAAGTCCAAACCTGTCAATAAAGACCGTTTCATCAGCAAGATGTTTCTGCGCGGTGACTCCGTAATCCTTGTCCTTCGAAACCCTCTTGCTTCTGCGTCGGCCGCCTCTGCCCGCGGTTGATCACTTTGTTATCCTTTTATCAAGTTTTGTACAATTATGGTGATATTAATATAAATATCATGTTGCCGCAGGTTGCTTTTAGATTTAATGCTCTATGGAATTCAAAATCTCTTTTGCTATTATGTTGATGTTTATTGCCCTTGTGCCGATATTCGTTCAATCTAAGGTTATATTGTCATTCTTTAATTTGTTTATTCTTTCTTTTATTCCCTCGATACTCGTCATGAAGTCTGCTACCCTTTCCTCATCGCTTTAGCCGTTCTTCTAAGCTTTTACTTTCGTCATTATCTAAGATGATGGTTCTGGCTGTCAGTTGTATTCAATTTGTGCCTCCTTGAGCTCATTTAATTTCTGGAGTTAGTACCTTCTTTAAGCTGGGTGTTGTGGTGAGGTGTGCATGGGCAACCACTCAGACTTGAATTTTACATACAAACCCACTAGTCTATTTCCGGCGTCCAGGTTGTATTCCATGGCGTGGACATGTCATGCCGAACCTTTGACCGATTCGTCTTATCAGTGAACACCCGGTTTCCAGCCCGAGGTGCCACCTGATACCAATTTGACTCATGAAACGGACAGCTTACTTATAGCTTTAAGTAGAGTTCTTTGATAGTCGGAAATTACCAATGCCCCAAAGAGACTAGGCAAAAGAGAAGAAACCGATGGGAGATATTTTATATATTTTATGAAGAATCAAATAGACCCTTTAAGAAGTCAGGAGAAGAAGTAAGTAAACACATTGAATTTCAATGCTAGTGAGTGATCGCGCCGGTATTTTCACTTGCTATCCATCTTAAACGGGTGCGAAACATCAACACTAGAACGGAGAAGGAGGGTAGAGGAGAATAATGCACATACACAGCAGCCCATTTCCACCAAGAATAAAGGATTGCATTGTATTGCCTGTAATTACGCCTTTACAGTTTAGTGTGGTTAGAGAGAAAACGTGAACGCTGGGGCCGGTCTGGTGGGGCGGAATTAGGGAGAGAACACAAACTAGACATACGACGTTAAAAGGTGGCGAAGGCAGCATATTAAACCTCAGAGAGACAGTGAGGAGAACAAAATAGTGCCATGAGACGCTGGTTGGATGACAGAGAGAAATGCATCAACAGTGGGGGGCGGTGGCATTGGGAGTGTCTCTTGTAGCGAAAGACGGGGAGTTGGTTGGCGCTACCATAAGGTTTCAGGAAAGGGAAATGGGAGTATCATCGAGGAATGCGGACTTTATCTTTCCTGGAGATGCGCAAGAGGGAACCGGTATAAGGCTGCACATTTATTAATTATTTGGTAGACGTAGAGCTAGAAAGGAAAAATGTGAAATCAATGAGTAAAAGAGTTGAATAACCTCCAAGAGCTACATCAACTCCATCAAACTTAAGAGGTCAAGCAACCAAGGATCTGGCCTTCCAAAATCAGATGGATGGGTTAAAGAGCATAAGAGAGGAAAATGGAAGTAGAAGAAGGCGTCCGTCGATAAGAGCATAGGACAGTTATAAGTGGAATTAGATGCTCCTAAATCGAGAGACGCTGCTTCTAGAGAAAGGAGGCCCAAAATCTAACCCGAATGGAGAACCTCTCGTAAAAGATTTGAGGAAGAGAGATCACAATACAACGGACTGAGACACAACGTATTGCGCAGACAAATTCAATTAATAAGAACACAATTACTGATACAGGCTCAACTTTCTGTTGGAAAAATGCAAAAAGGTACATTTCTAACAACTTTTGATTGTGTGAAGAGAGGCTAAAAATGATGAAGAGGAATGGGGCCACGAATATGCTAAAGTAGCAGAGCCACATTTGATTGTGGCATTCGAGTTGTACAATGGTCAATAAATGGGCAACCTGCGTTTCGAAAATCAAAGGTCACGATTCGTCATCCGGAGTTGCTACACTAGCCTCAAGCTCATATGTTCGTACCCTTCTGATCTGTTATTTCATCAAGAAGGCCACGTGATTTTACAATCTCTTCGGTAGTCAAGAGTCTTAAGAAAGCAGAGAGGAGAAAGACGACGCCGCGCAAGCTGGCTACATCATTCAAAGTGAAGCTAACATCTTGCAGGAGTTCTTGCTTTTCCCAAAACCCCCCATCTCATGAGAACCTGGATAGCTTAAGCCACACCTGGTGGTTTCCAACTTTAAATTATAAAAGGTAAGCGCAAATTATTTCAGCATCATTAGTCTAGAATCTAAGGCTAGTAATGGCGTTAATTGGATTAAAAAAAAATTAGCCACCAAATAAGATTATAAAGCCGACGACTTTCGTTTCAAAGTGGGGTTGTATAGGCGTGAGAAGCTGGGGAAATTGGAAAGAGCAGTCAGAAAGCAACTATTTTTCGTAAATCTCATAATTGGCCCAGACAGTCCACATCTCCAACAGCAACCGGGTGAGGGAGTGAAAAAACCCGCGCGCCATCTTGGCCAAATTGTCTAGTGCAGCAATAATAATAGAGGGAACTAAAGTTGTGCTAAGTCGCCTCAACTTCGCTAATTGCCACACCAAAAGCCGTGGTGGCGGCGGGGGCTTTGAATTTTTAATAAATAAATGTATATTATATGTATATTGGCACTTCCAAACCCATAACATAAAAATATCACAAAAAGCAAAGCGTTTGTCAAAATTTCAACGAAAAAAGAATTCACAGAAAGCCGAGAGTTTGCAGCCAACATCACGCACATTTTTCGTTGGGAACTTTAGACAAAATAAAATCAGAGGAAAATTTCACACACATATACACTATGCACGCTTCATTATTTCTGCCCGTTTCTTCATAAGAAGAAGTATAACTTCAACTAGAAGAGGGGTTCATACATCCCCTTATCTCAGGCCGAAGATAAAAGTTGCTGGTGTCCGAAAGTACCTGAGCCTAGACGTACGCCATCTAACTAACTACGAATGAGCAAATAGGCAGACGTCCTTCGGAAGACAGAGCAGTTTTAATTTGATTTTCCCACTAGCGCAGTAGAATAAAAAACAGTAGTCACAGGCAATAAGAACGAGATTTCCACCCTGCGCATTGAAAAAAAACAACACGCTGGTCGTTATTGGTCATTTTCACCAATAACCATAGCGACATTGATGGCCAACCACAGAGTAGTCAATCTCTCAGGACACGCACACTATCTTAATGCAAATGAATGTGCAATTGGCACTTCACTTGGAGTTAGAAAGTTTTAAAACCTTGCAACAATACTCGTGGGTCTTAACAGGGGAAGAACTCGCATTTTATACCTCCAAATTTTGCGATTCTACTAATGTCACACACACTTTAGAATTGCAACAGACGCACACACACAGCACACCTGCCTGTGCGCTTGGAAAGACAGCTTGCTGAAAGTTGGGAGCAGCAGCAGAAGCTGCTGCGGCTATTTCTCTCTCTCTCTCTCTCCTGCTGATGCGAACAATTAATCACCTCCCTCTCTCTCTCTCTTGACAACATCGCAGTATGTGGTGGCAAACTTCTCTCTCTCTCGCTATGCAACCAGCACACTGCATGAGGAAAAGATATTTTTATTCGCCTTTTCCATCTCATGAATTTACAGTGGATTTGATTAAGTTTTTTGGGAGTTTTGAGATAGTGACAAATTGCAAATAAGGTGGGGGGAGGGGCAGTGACGAGGTTTGTACAATAATCAGCGAGAGTATGGCGTTAATTAAGTTAGTTCTTTTGAAAATTTTATAATCAACCAATTGCGTGTGCCAGTGGTGTAGAGATCACATTATAATCCCCATTGGTGTACGCAAAGTAAATGGTGTGACAAGCCGCATTGGTCAAATTAGAAAGGTAAAGAGAAAAGTAGAATAAAAAATTTCCCTCCTTCTCGACTCAAGGCGGGGCGCGTTGAATGCTTCCCTCCTAAATAGGTCTGGAAATCACTGGCAATGAATTTTGACCAACGTATTGAAAATCGACTATATGAAAAAATAGATTAAAGGCAACCAATTTCATATAATAGCGTGTGGAAGATGGAATGAGGCTTTGAGAAATAAGATTACGGCGCTTTCCCAGCTTGTCTCAAACACATAATCCATCAGTCAAATGTGAGGAAAGCATAGTGAACAACTAGTTACAAAACATATACCAGTTTCCATAGGTCAGGCACACAAGTGGCACAATGTAGTCATTCGAACTTGACATCCAAAATTGGAACGAACATACTTCGAAAATGATATTGGAACAAAAAAACTTGAGAATATATATTCAGAGATAGTCTACTTTCAAGGTATTAAGGGCATTTCCAAAATTCTATGCCGAAGGAAAATGACCATAGTAGTCATGTAGAATGTCTACTAAATAACTTGCAAATTTTGTAAAGAACTGCATTAACCCATTTTCAAGGTTATTCACACTCACCTATGTCATCCACGTTCGTGAGGACGTGGTTAATAAACTTACCGTTATCCAAATAACCATGCAAAGTGAGACACCACTTAACAGGCGTGAACCTAGAACACCGCATATAAGCATTCACGCGGACAGTATCATGAACGCATATCGACCTATTATTCACTATTCGATTCCGGACTTAATTCTGTGTAAGAATTCAATTCAATTCAATTAATGTCTTTTATTCAAAGTACAAAAAAATGATTTGCTGATAGCCAAATTTCATCATTTATACTCAACTCAAAGCTACAAGACCCGAATATCTCTGACAATTTTTTCCAATGGTAATAACGCAAGCAACGTATAATCACCAAACACAGACTAAGTAGAAAGAGAAGATTTTATCTTTCCGATCGAAAGCTGATATAGGCGTTGTCCAAAAAAATTAAATGTCAAAAAGGGAAGTGCAACTATTTAGAACTCGTTTGTAACAAAAAGTGCACTGTGTCACGATTTTCTTCAAAAGAATATCAGCCATTCTTTCAGGAAAAAAGTAGAAGGCGTAACAGAACAATCTCCCAAACTTTCAAATCAATCCGCTTCGAAATTAAACAGCTCATAATATGGAAAACCTTGGTCAAGCGCGAAGGTTGTATTACAAATCATTTGTGGATTGTGAGAGAGAGAGAAAGTTAATTCGTTGATGGCTCCAACCAACCCAATGGGAAGACAACGAGGGAAAGGAATCCACAGTATTGATATTTGCAAATGAAAAAGAAACCACCTACAAAACAGCACATTATGGAGCTGTCGCCAGAATCTGAAAACGACATGTTCTCAATAAATTTCAGATAATCAAGAATACACAAAATGGGTTCTCAAGGTCGCACACGGCTTAAATTGACGTCAGAGAGACCGACAGTTTGTATTTTATACAATCCTCTTGCCATCCTAACAACCACTAGTCCAGGCAACCAACACCATCCACGACGCGCGCGCGCGCGAGCTAGCTTAGCGAGTGCGGCCAGGAGACCAGGTTAGTCACAGGTCTTTAATGCGTGGTTCCCCTCTGCGTTAATGCTGAGTTAGCCAATAGGAAGGCGCGCATGAATACACAACTGACCAAATAGTCAACCCAGCCAATCCAGTCCCACACGTGTGACGTCAAGCTTTTGGCGGGAAGGACGAGAACGAGGCTGGGTAGATTTCTTAGCTCGGCAATGTCGCAGCGGCTACATATATATAACAACCGACTTCTCCCTTCACGTGACGCTTCAGGCAGGAAACCTCCACCACCCTAATCAAACAGGCATGCGCGGAGGTGTGATTTGCGTTTCTCACAGGCAGACAAAAACATCCTCTTCTTGAGAGCCGAAGTTCTTTCTAAGAACTTAGATTATCAACACCAGAAAAGGTGTTAAATATTCGTTTCCGGAATTCGAGTCACAACAAACGCCAAACTCTTAGTCAAGAAAAAGTCAAAGAAATAGGACCTTAAGACGGGGAAAATGAATGACGCTAACGTCATAAAACCGACAAGGAGCTTTGTGCAAAGACAACCATATTTCGCTCACGAACTCCTCCCACCTCAAAAAAACTAAAACGAAGAGAGGGAAAATTGAAAATTCCACGCAAATGAAATCGCTTCAAAATGGGAGATGAATTATTTGAAGACAGCCTTTGACATACTTAAAACAAACTTATTCGAAATCCCCACGTATTAAACAAGGAACAAGTGTATTAGGATAGTGTACTGATGGTGTTACACGTTGCCAAATTTTAAGAATGGTAATTGAAAGACACCCAAAGTCCCTCTAAAAGCAGACGCAAAAATTGGTGGCCAGGCAAAGAGTAAACAACGCTTCTCATACGCGCAGCCAAAAAGGAGACGCGAAAGATAAATCGTCTTCCGAGCAGAGGCAGACAACAAGAATTCGCTGAAGACCAACAAAGACGGAAAGCTCCTGCAAAAATGAAGGCAGTAAGGCTAATTTAAGGAGTCATTGAAAAAGAATGCCGTATTCAGTCAGTGGACGACGTACGACAAGTTCAAACCCTAAGAGGAAAACGTTTGGAGAACAAAAAATAGAGCACAAATTAAAATGACACCATATCCTAACTGCCAGAATAAAATGAACATAGGGCATCCAATTGAAGGCCTGAAACGGTTACCATACCCGGATAGGACTGAATTACCCCACAGCTCTTCGAGGAGGATAGACACAGATGTGACAGATCCTAGGGGGAAAAATGCCGCTGCAAAATTCAATTCAACCAATCGGAGGACGAAAACGAGTGCCATACTCGGCCAGCCATTTGAGTAGAGGCATAGTTGAGGCGCAAAAAAGGGGAATGGAGTGAGTCATCTGTGTATGAGCGCTTATACAAATGGACAACAGGAGGCCACCCCTCCTCAAGGTGGAGAAGATAATTAAATCAGTTAAAAATATGGGCTCTCTACTACTATAAGTTGTATTTGTTGTTTTCTTTTCAAGTCATCAATAACCGCTTGGGTGGTGGTGGTGGACGGCTTAAAGAAAGCTTGGTGATTCATGGAAGTAGTGGTGATTGTGATGATGAACAAACACCAACACACTATACGTGCAAAAGTTGCGTAAAATTAAATCTACAAATTATTTACTAATGAAATGCAATGACATTTCCAACAACAGTTGAGATGAAACCTATAAAATATTCTATTTTAAATCAGGTTATAACACAATTAACTTATATGAAGGAATACCTGAAAGTTTATGAAGCAAATTTAAACGACAGTAACGATGTTGAATAGCCCGGGAGAGGTAGCTAAAACATGACTAAGCCAAATTAATCAAGACACAAAGGAATTCTCGGTTTGTGACGGGGCTGTCATAATTAAAACAGCCAACAGCAAATTTGGGTTTAGAGTGGGGTGTCAATTGCAAAAAAAACTTGCAATAAACAAGATAATCATTAATTTGAAATCAAGTTGAATTGACAACGTGAAGAGATGAGATGAGGATAATTAAGCATACCAGCAAGAATCTCAGTTTTGAGAGTCTTAATTTCCTTTCGGAATTCCAGAAGAATCTCGCGTTTTAAGGCATCTAAATCACTTCGGGTGATGGGTTGATTGGAATCGACACTGTTGTTGGCCGAAGATGCTGAATTCTTCCGTCTACAAGAGTGAATAATAAATGTGCCAATTTTAAAGCAAGCCAAAAGCAGAAATCAAAGACAAACTACAGAAAGCTAAAAAACATCATCATACACACATCCCTAAATCTTGCCAACGACCATTCTAAAATAGCCTTAATGAAGTCCAATCAGTCTATTCGAACGACTCAAATATAGGTTTAAAAAACACAAGACCGAAGTAAATCCCACTTATTTCAAACATGAAACACGCAAGGCCAACACGATCTGCAAATATTTTAGAGTATAGCAGTGGGCATCTGAAAACTTATAACAAAATCTAGAAAAAAAGATAGAATTGCGGAATACCACCTAGGTAGAGAGAGAGAGAGCTCGAATAGGTATGGAAAATAACATTATTACTATATAGATGGATGCACATCGACATAAATGATGGTAAAAACTTACACGAAATAAGAAGAGCCAAGTCATCAAAAGAACAAGAAATATCATAGACTCTGTGCATTAGGACAACTAAAGACGATTATTAGGGACATAAAAATAAATAAAAACTCCATTCAATACTAATGGGAAGGGAGATGGATAAAATGACTCAATACTTAAATAGGTCCCCATGACTCATAAAGACCTTCATGTCATACGAGGAGTGTAGAAAAGTTCCATTCAGTAGTTAAGTGGATAAAGAAGCGACAATTAGAGGAGTTGGAGTGGAAAGGATAAAAATACCAGCGTTAAAACCTACACTGTGGCGCCTGGAAAAACCGATATTTCACTAAAACCCGGGTGTCTAATAAACAGTCGGGCGAGTGTGGTGCCTAAAAAGCCTCCACCACAACAAACTTTATGTATTCGACAAAGTGGAATAGAAGTCGATTTTAGAGGGATAGAAAATTAGGCTGCGCTTTAAAGTAGAGAGGACTGACATAGTGGCATAGTTTGATGGGGGAGCGGGTGCGTTCGGAACCGCAAAAGTGGGGACGCCGTTGCTACTGCCATTGTTATTGAAGGATTGAGAAGGCCGTCGAAGATGACCACTCTCTGTGGGAGCATTTCCATTTGGTGCGTTAGATTCTGAGCTTGCAGTAGATGCAGTTATCGGTGGCGTGTTTGTGGCTGGGGTGCTGTCCGTGAAGTCAGACTGAAATGAAATAGAAATGGCATAATTACTTTAAGACTGAAATATGCAAATCGACAACAACATCGACCCAAGGGGGAGATGGGAAATTTTAGTGGACAAAAGGTGGAATTGTCGCAAGCAAGACATTCCTCCTTCAAGGAACCCTTGAAAAAACGCAGTGCATAGGCTATAAACACTACGCATCTGTGAAAGTCATTAGTGTAAAAAGCAGATCTCAGGATACTTCTTGGGAGTAAGTAGACATATCGAGAGAGAGAAGCTGAAAATCTATGCGAAACAGGCTTATTTTTATACACATGAAATAGAGTAAGCAACAGAAATTGGATAAATCTTTTCAAAAATACAATGCAATAAGCTTCACAAATAGTTGCATAGCTTCTATAAATACTTGGACTACACAACGTACAACTATATAAGAATAATTCAATGGATTGATAAGCGGAAGAGAAAGATATCAATGCCTTCCTTCTGTCTCGATTATCTGTCAAGACGTCAAGAGCAGAATGGACTTCCAACCGACAAATAATAACGCAAGGGCATAGAGAATTATACATACCATAACCAAATATGTTTACCGACAGACTAACAAATCGGCACAAAGACCTCACAATTCTCACGCAGAAAATAAAGCAATTGCGCGTAACATAGCAATCTGAAAACCATTACAGCTTCATTACACACCTATTATTTGGCATAAAAGCCTCTACGTCCAGTGGAAACCGGAAGACCTAAAGGAATAAAAAGAAGCTTGAAGCAACCCAGTTAATCCCAGAGCACTGACATCAAGGAGATAATAACGCATCCTCTTCAAAAACGGCATAAGATTAATTGAAACGCGTGCCAAATGACAACTCGGACGATGCCAACAAGGAAAGTCGCGTCATTACAAGAGGGCAATAAATAAGCATTAATATAGATAAAATAAATTGAAACTGGAGAATCAGCCGTAACACCTATTAACAAAAAATCACTTGGAAAATCATCGCGTTAATAGTTAAATCAATACGTAAGGAAAGAATAGCAAAATAGGTGATGGATTGAACATTCAAGAGAAAGTTCAAGGTGGAGCCATCAAGAAAACGGTGGCATTTACGATCCCATCAGTGGGGTATGTTGACAATAAAAAACTTAATAATAATAAACTAGAAAACAACAGTGACATAGAGAAAACTGGCGGAAGAATTATATTGGAATTACCAACAAAATTAAGAAAATTTTTTGGGAAAGTTCGTAAATGTCAATCTAATGAACCGCTAAGGCAAGGCGTGACGAGGCTAGTTCAGTAATGACTACAGAATCAGGCTGAGATACAAATTGAGACCTTTCTGCCAACAGTCACTACTGAGAAAAGATATAAAATAACAAACAAATAGATGAATAGATGGATGTATATCTACTCGGGGTGTGCGATAGACTTACCTCCACGTGGTGCACCCCGGGCAATGTATACACATACGGCAAAAAGTCTATTAACCAGCAGTTGACTTCAAACTACCATCACCCCACTGTATGTCATAATCGACTACTTCCACAGTACTAACCTCACCTTTTTTCTACATTTGTCTGTCTCTGTAACATCTTTGAAACACTCTTCTATTCCCCCCCCCTCCTCTCGACTTTTTTTTCACTTTGGTGTACCTTCTTCCCTCTGTGAAGCCTGAAGTCAATTAGAGGGCTAATGATAACAATCAAGATGCCTGCCATTTGGTAGAAATAAATATATCTACTCAATATTTGGTGAAATTCATTGAGGCGGTTTTAAATTCGCCATTGAAATACTCTAGCGATAAAAATTGAAACCCGAAAGAGAGACTACCGACTTTGATGCTCAAGGAAACCATTGTGCTAAGCTGATAGAGAGGTTCAAGAAAACTTCCTCTGCATCCAAATTGAGATTGCGAAATTGTTTTCCTTGATGGGTTAGAAGCAATGACATTAAGACAGAATTAATGAGCTAGAAATTATTAAAGAAATTTCCCGATATATTCAAATACACCTATTAACTGGTAGAAAAGAACAAAACACGAGTCTAATAAGCTTCGTGCGTTACACAATACGGAGAGAAGGTACTTTCTTCAAGAAACTGCAATATCAAACTCTACCTGCCGATTTTATTTGCCCAGTTTACGACCATCGTAACTCAGACCATAACATCAAAATACCAGATGTAATTTCTAACACCTTTCGAATTCCAGAAACAGGAAATACCACTCAACATAATGGCCTCTAACCATTTGGATAAATAGATAAAAATAATAACATTGCTCAATGCCTATATCAAAATTCAGGTGAACAGAGAAACAAAGCTAATTCAACCACCAATCCGTAGGCAAATAATTTGCGATCTCTGATGTGATAGAAACATGCATATTACTTATAAAAAATTAGTAAACTTACATCGCCCTCTCGAGCACGTCTTCTAGCAGCTAGGACTCTCTGCAAATCCGACATCATATCCGCGCCTTGAGCCCTGCTCAGAGTGCCAGCACTACTCACCGTATGAATCCCCCCATTCCCACTAGCACCCTCCTGCTGTTTTTCCTGTTGCTTTTTGAGACGCATTGCCTTGGCTTGACGCAACTGGGTAGCCAGCCAGCTCTGATTCGCCGCGTCAGGTTCATCTGGGTCGTTCGCGCTAGACATCATTGCAGACATTGACACAACAGGGGCAGAGAACTTGCGATCTGCCGCGGTGATGGGATTACTGTTTACAGCAGTGGCGCCAGAACCAGAGGGAGGGGGAGGTGGTGGAGGTGGCGGAGGAGGTGGTGGGGCAGAGGAAGCAAAGGCTGGTGGGGGTGGCGGTGGTCCGGAAGGAGGCGGCGGGGGAGCTGGAGGAGCAGCGGAAATTGTCGGAGGTGGGGGAGGTGTTGACGGGGCATACTGCAAGGAACCTGCAAATAGAACAAAAAAGTAAAAATGAGGACAAACTGGAGAGAGGCCTGGAGCACTTCAAAAACAAGAAAGCTACAGCTAATCATTAGATTATTTAAAAAGTATAGCTTGATAAGTTTGGACGGTTAGCTGTAATATTGTCCGGATTTCGTAATTCAGTGGGCAATCTAATGAATACCTGGATGAATATAGGAGCATCAAATGATATTAGTACCAGTCTCCCTTTAATACCCTTGAACTTTTCTAAAACAAAGCAAAGATTGAGGAGTAAAAAGACACACATTTTAAAAATCAAATTCCAACTAAACTTAAACTAAGCAAGGTTAATTATGTCATGACAACCCAATTTAAACAAAGAGAAGAATAGGAATCTATCAAAAGAGGAAAATGTAATGGTTAAATCTAAGTTAGAAGTGAAGAAAACCTCTGAGCACCCCTCCACATTGCTCGAAGAAAACGGTAGGTAAATATAGAATGACATCTAATTTACGTATGAACATTGGAAGACTATTGAATCGGCTGCAAAATCAATAAGCAGAATAATCCTATCAAAAACTTATTTAGAATGACAGTATGGAAGAGCCTCATTCGAGTCAGAAAATGGTTTGTACGATTTTTCATGATGTTCTCTAGATGTGCGCGCAAATGATTACTGTCAGTATAATAATTATTAAGTGAAAAGTATGCCGTTAGCTGATTAATAAATCATTAGCATGAAGAACGTTAAAGGTTAGCAAATAAAAATAAGAAACGCAGAGGCCTTAAACAGGTGCAACCGATCAGGTAATTAGTCACCGACCAACTGACTCACATTTCCTCACAAAGTGCGAAAACAAACCCAACTAGAGGCAGAAAGGAAAGAAGTCAGATTTTGAAGTGGTAAGGCGCATAATTTTCATGAAAAAGCAAGAAACACACACATTTTCCAAGTGGACAAAAGAAAAATCCGGACACGCGCGTTCTAAGTAAGTGGCTGCAAAATTTACCACAAAACTATAGAAAAGTGCCAAAGGTGTAATAGAAAAAATTGAATCCACATCGTGTATTCAAATGAATGACGTGCGTTGGCAGGTAATCAAGAATGAGAGTAGCATTAGAAATGCGAATAAATATATAAAAAGGATTAAAAGAAGCGAGAGCGCTTCGAGTGGGAACTAGGCTTCAAGAGACCCACTGTGGACTGACAAGGGAGCAACATGGTGACTTGTGCATGCTTGGCTTTGTACAATGGATAAAAAAGCCAAATTAGAAACCTGGGATTTTTGGAAAGTATCGCTCCAGAAATTTTGCTCAAAATTCCGCTAACCGAGAGGCTATTTCGTCGATTCCAACCACTTATTTCGAACCTAAACTGCAAAGGAGAATAACAATGGCATCAATCCAATTTACCCAAAATCGCAATCAAGGTCAACAACTAACACTTAACTGCAAAACTAAGAAATAGAATGCAGTGTTCTAACTTAAGTTGGAAGTGACTCATTGGAGGGAAAAAGTTACACTTAGAAAAGAGTGAAACTAAAACAGAACATCATCTAAAACTCCCCCCGGACGACGACGATGACATGGATGCAGTTTTGTTAAGGAGACAAGTCTAAAGTTAATTAGCTTGAGTCACTTATAACTAAGACTTAAATTCAAATTAAAACAAAAAAAAATAAGTGAAGGAAGTGACACTAAAAGTAGAGTGAAGAGGTTAGTAGAAGCCTCGTCATAACTAAAACTGCATTCTACTTCTCGAGTTATCCTTGGTTAACGAATCCTAAAATTCAATAAATTCGAATTTTTCGTGCACTGGGTATACAAGAAATGTGATGTGTAATGTTAAATATTTAGAGAATTGGGGCGAGAGATAATTGCCCTACCAACTAGGAATGCATAGTTACGGACATGATTTCAGATTCAATGCACAAGACCTACTCTGCAGGGAACACTAATTAGGATGAAACTGAATTGCAAAAGAAATGACAAGTAATACAGATATAAGGTCTACCAGAATGTTCCCCTAAACGTACAATTGTGCGACGAAAATATGACTAATAAAGACATGTCAAAACCAAATTACGCCATAGTAGAAAAACAATGTGCGAACCATAGAGTGGGGGAATATACTCGCAAAGCCATTTTCAATATTGACACAAACAAACGCCTGAGAAAGAAGCAGCAGCATATATACCCATTTGAGTTTAATGGTGAAGCCCCGAATCTCATAGATAAAATATTTCATTCATATGTAGAAATGGTATGGATGTACACTTTAGACATAAGTGAATAACAACGTTGAGACGTAAAGTTAGGGCAAATAAAAACGATAAAGCAGTGTTCTCGTTTCATGAAATGCCTTAACTATGCAAGATGCAGCTTATATTCATGATAATTGACATGCTTTGACTCATCTGCATCTTTCACACCAAGGAGCAGGTAGAGGTTAGCTCTATTAGAAAATGTTTGAACCCGTCAACAATATTTCATCTAGAGACAGGAGAATTAGCACATTATGAAAGGGACTTCTCCGTGAAACCAATCAAGATACTTGATGCTGAATGTTGTTTGCCAGGAAACATGCAATTTCAACTGGGAATTCGTAAGATTAAAAAGTTGTGCAGACTTCAGAACGTTGCATCCTAAACATTTAGTAGGAATTGGGATTCGAACCAGTAATTATGAGGTATAAGAGGCTAAAAATTGATTAAAACCAAACTGCCGAAATGCCATTTTTCACATACTGCGCCAACTAAATCAACAGTTGGATAGCAAAACAGTGTTTCCAAGTGGATGTAAGGAAGACTTCTCCACCTGACCTTGAGAACTTGATATTAAGAAGAACCTAGGGGCTCCGGTTACTGCGATTTCAATGACGCTAATTACCCTACAATTGATTCGTCCAATTTCCCAATAAGAAGCACAATCTCAACTTTCCCAATTAGACACTCATGAATACCTCTGGATGAGATGTTCAGAGCTTGTTGTCATATGGACATAATTGACCACCTGCTCGTGCCAACTTATCATTAACATTATACACATATGAGCAGATAGAGGCTAGCAAAAGCATTTAAAAGAGCGGACTGGCTGTATATCATGATTTTTAGTAAATAAATTGTCGTAATTTTTTAGCCAAGCCAAAGCTGTTCTATCTATCCAACTCACTTCAACAACTTCACTGGTCCACGCAATTTCACAAACTTGCAACGATTTTAATTCGACCAACGCCAGTAGGTCAGTTATGAAAGACTTTACTGCCTGAAGGATATGCACTAAGGAATAATGGAGAAAGGCTTTTGGATAAGACAAGGGTTATGCAAAACATTCTCATGTGACAAGCCTATTTGCCACAAGTGGGCCATTTCATTAAATCAATGTGGTTGAGCTCATTTACGCGAAAAAGCGAAGAAAACACAACACATAAAAAAAACATGTAATAATATCAACACACTGAGGATATTGTGAGCAATTTCGCGATTTGAAAATAAGATGAGCAGATTTTGTTGCACTCAAATTATGGCATCGTAAGCCGTAAAGCAAAATTTAAGCCCAATTTTTTGTCCATGTCTTGAAGAGTAGAGACAAAACAAAGGAGCCACCACAAAGCAAAAACAATACCCAAACTCAACACGACTTAAATAATCAATATGCAGAGCAAATTAAATTAAAGTAAATTAAAAAGATTCATTGATTGGGGAGCAGTGGGCACCGCAGAAAACACGAAAATGGGAAGTTAGGGGGTTGTAAAAAGGCGCAAAAGACCAAATATTAGTTAAAAGCGGAAAAACTCATTTCTCGGACCGGAAAAATTCATGGCTGCCCCACTTCGACGAGTGATGAGTCATTACTAATTAGACAGACAATTTTGGGATTGGTCGAGTCAGATGGACTTCAGAGTGACTAAAAGATCCTGCAAAACAGGCTGTCGTCGCCAAGTCACAAAGAAGATGAAATACGACTTCTGTGACCGTTAGAGAGTGAGTACTCGAAATAACCAGAGCCAAATAATGGTGAATCCCAATTGTTCGCTTTTAAAGACAAATCTACCTCATCCTCCGCAAGATTCCTCGAGACGCTTTTAAAAATAAGCTACAATGAGGAGGACGAACTACTTTAATTAATCAGCCAGTCAACAAGCGCTGGACATTGTGGACAGGAATGATTCATGAAGATGGAATTTCAGAACGTGGAGCACTGAAATACTCACTAGGTAAAGTCGTGGAGAGCTCAAATAGAAAAGAAGTACACTTTTTGATATCTTGGCTAAATTCTCGCGATAGTTTCAATTCTCTTCCTTTAAACCCTCATTTGAACTGACTGTTACCCGATTTCAATAGCTTTCCAACAGTAAAGCGCACTTTTATGCCGATCCTACTTAAAAAACGACTTCTACATACATGACAAGAAAATCAGATTCCATTGCGAGATTCCAGCTGAAAAAGGCTTAGGCAGTACACTTGACCATTCCATTCAAAGTGTACATTGATGGCAATAAGCTGGAGATCTCTAGCTCTGCAGACAAGGGCTTACTGAAAAGGTTGGCACAAAGGAATACAAAATGGAACAGGGTTTGAAGACCGTGTAGGAATTAAAAGCGCAAAGTAAAGAGGCAAAACATTGCAACACAATCAACGAAATTGGCGAAGAGGCGCCTAAAACCAACATTCGCTCACTTGCGATCCTGGTTACTTTCGTAGCCTGAACGATGCATGTTTCAGTGCGTTCATCATTTGAGGAAGAACTTTTCGTATCTTCATTAGGGGGAAAAAGAGTAAACAAGAAATGTAGATAAAAGTTGCGAAATTCAATCGCACACACACACACGCGACAGGTAAAAAACACAAGGTGAAAGGAAAAACAGAAGTCATGACTATCTGCGTGTTTACGCAACCCAGAAGGACTAAATATATATTATTCCAATGCCTCCAATTGACGCTACATCCCAGGAAATACCTTAACCATGAGCATCAAACCTGTCAAACCTTCCCACCTGCCACAGAATTTCATTTTACAAATGAATACCTAAAAATCAACAAATGATTAGGGAAGGATCCAAATATGCTACCTGTCTTCCACTAATTAGAAAGAGCTCCCAAAAATTGTTACTAAATATTGACTAAGTATTATCTAAATAAATTAATGGAATTACAAGATCATTAGTTGGCGGCGAGAGGACATTGTAATTCAAAACTCACTAAAACAACTTCCCAAACGTAACCTCAACTAAAATGAGGGAAAAGAAGTCACATTTTTCGATAAAGTCGAATAGTTTTAGACTGTCAGCAGCAAAGCCTATGTAAGTGGGGGGGATTTTAAAGCGCAAAGTGAGAAAAAAACATACCTGCGTTAAAGATTTAAATTTAGCGTAACGTAGCGTTGCTAAGCCCTAGTACAAGCCGATTTTAAACGGCCTTAAAAGTAAAGTCCGGACACGGCTACAAATGGCGGGGGGTGTGAAGCAGTTGCTGCAAACACTAAGGTCAACAGATCAGAAGGCTGGTTGAGGTCAAGGAAAGAGGAGCAAAACTCTAGGGTGCCAAAGTGCCCAAATACACACACACACACAATGTGCACCAATTCGCTCATTACACGCGGAGATACTTCGGGGGGAGTAGGCAAGACAATAGCCAGGCGAACTAGGCCTCACTTGGAAACTGAGATGACTAATCTATTGGAAATATTTATTTATTTATTTCAAATGGCAGGCATTTTGATAATTATCATTAGCCCTTTAGTGGACTTCGGGCTTCACAGAAGGGAGGAACATTAAAGTGAGAAGAAATGATAGGGAGGAAAGAAGAGCGATTCACATCAAAGTGACAAAAAGTCGAGAGGGTGGACAGAATAATGATTTAACCCTTTAGCTGACTTTGGGCTTCACAGAGAGGAGGAGGAAACACATGTAATAGACAGACAGACACAAAGTCAGAGAAAAGGCTAGATGAGTACTGTGAAAGGCAGAGAAAAAGCTAGATGAATACTGTGGAGGTAAGTCTATCGCACACCCCCTATTGGAAATAATAAGGACCCCAAAATGAACAGGTATTTTTTTATTATCATTAAATTCTCCTTCACCTGACATTGTGATGACACTGATTAGCCAATTTTGACGTAAAATAAGGGAAATTAGTCACCGATCTAATATTAACATTCGTGCGATGAAGATGAAATTGTCGAAAGATAATTTCACAAAGATTAAATCTTAATTACATTTACATTTTACTATTCGTTACCAGGCTGCAGACAGCCACCATGGCGCGACAAAAGTAAAGACAAAAAATGAAACCTTTTACAAAACCTCGATTAATTTTCAAGACCTGGTGTGTTCCAACTTGAGTGTGATGGAAAATTAGTTACAATTAGATTACAGATGAATGAAGACAGCTAAATAAAAGCTTGAGAATTAATAGGACAGCATTAGCCTACTACTTACTCCCTGTTTCGGTGAGAATTCCAAATCGAAGTCTGTAATCAACAAAATGGTCACTCAGACACATACATACATACATTCGAAATGCATAATAAGATAATAATCAAGATGGAATAGGTGTACACGACCATCCAGTGAATGATGAAGACGGTGAAGTAGATTTCTAAGTATTACTACGAACACTTCCTTAATATGCATTGGAAAGCCATCAATAAAGTAAGAAAGTGTTAATTTGGAAGAAGAAAGAGCGACTTAAATGACTGTTTATGGTAGAGACGGCAGAATAAAATTTCCCGAAACAAAATTAAGCAGACCAAACTCCCACCACACACACATTATAGACAAATTGAAAAGTGAGGGGAAAGTGAAAATTACCTTTGGTAGGAGAAGATGCGATACCGGAAGTTGATGGAGTGGAGCAGTTGCTCGCAGCCAGAGATGGAGCAGTAGGCATTCGACCAATTAATCCCTTCACACTGTCATCCGAGGAAGATTGATAACTACATCGATCAAATCAATAGATACATGCGAGAATTAATTATCTGCAAAGTGAAAAAAAGAATGTCAAACTAAAGCTTACCGTCCATCAACACTTCCATTTCCCATGGATCCATTGACTGATCTTCCGGATTCACTAATCTGAGAGGGGACACGATAACCACCCAAACTTCCATTATAATCCGACTGCGACGAGGGTGGGACTAACTGCTGCTGCTGCTGTGGTGGTGGTGGCTGGTTCTGAAGCGTGCTGGGCATAGCGTACTCCCCTCTACTAATGGTATTATTCCCGAGAGCAGGTTTTGTTTGAATCGGAACCCCTGCGTAACCCGGAACCTCGTTTTCTTCCTTAAGTGGAGGGATAGAATTTAATTTCACCACACATTTAGAGTTTGAGCAAAATTGAAGGAGTGATCAACAACGATTACCACTGAGCCTCTCTCTGCACTCAAGGTGTAAATTAGTCAATACACACACACACATGTTTCTATCATCGCGTCTTGAGCACAAGACAATATCCTATCTTATAGACTTATGAATTGCAAAACAGGAAATTCTTTTAATATAAACGAATCAGAATAAGATAGAGAGAAAAATCACAGGATTTTCACAGGATACAATTTGGTAAGACAAATCATTCAATTAAGAATGCCAAGTGAGATTAAAAAGTATTAACAGCGGTAATTTTTGTTCAATCCAATTATCAAGTAAAAATGTGAAATATGGATATATTTAAGAGCAAAATAGTACCCGTCATACTGCCAATGATGAAACAAGTAATGAAAGTGATCGCCACATCGCTATTCTTGTATAACAAAAAACGTACTCTTTTAACACGATCCGATTCTGCACAAACGAGCTTTTCAAACTGAGGAACCTGTTCCATATACTGCATCTGAAGCTGCTGTTGTGGCTGTGAAACTTGTTGCTGGATGATGTGATTGGAGGTAACAGTTTCATTCCCAGTTGGGTGCTGATAATGCTGAGGCTGTTGCTGCTGAGATTTAATTTGTGGTTCAGGTTGGGGTTGCGATTGACTAGATTGCTGACGTTTGAGAACTGCCAACTGCTCGAGCGCAGCATCAACTGCAGCTGCAAAAGCTTCGGCTTCATCTAAGGAGGCGAAACTAAGTCCATATACGTGCTGTTTAGCATCTCGCCATTGATGAAAATTAGGACGAGCTTTGTGGTAATTCAAACCACGAGGTATCGAGCAGTTGATGACAACCTAATAGATAAAGCACAATTAGATTTAAATATTTACCTCTCGGTCTTGGAGACTCCATCCAACAACACGATATGCATTTGTTTGAGAATTGAAATAGAGCTGCACTTTTGCAAGGCTTTGTGAATTCCCACTGTAATTCCAACTTCCCGATTTAGTATCATAGAGCATAACATGCGCTTTAGCTGTAGCCACCGGTCTCTCACTAAATTAATGAACACATATTCATAAAATTACGAAAAATTGTACTAATATCAATAAAAAAGAGAAATTTCAGTTTATAACCAAGCCTAATAATAATAATAATAAATGATATTTTAAGCAATAAACCCAGTAACGACATAAGCAATGGCAAACATACCCCATTTCGGCGTCCTAATTAAAATATTTGAACGGTTGTATTAGTTTTACTCCGAGGTGAAGATAAACAATAGATGAACTTGAAATGTTTTAACAAGTTAGCACATATCAACTTCCATATTTTATTATTATAAATAATATCAGGTAGTTATTGCTTTCTTATGTTGAGAATTTTAACCAATAAACTTGATTTCGTTAGCGAATTGAAGTACCTTGTCTTGGACATTGACAAAAGGAACCAAGAGATATTGGAGTAATTTTAAGAATTTATCTTTATTGATGCTACATTGCTCATGCCAAGTCCTTTAAAAAACATTAGTGTGGGCAATTCTTGCTATGATTATCAAGTTTAATTAACTTTAAATATTTGGCCATTAATCATTACCATTTTTGGCCACAAGCAGTGATTTCAGAAAACTATGGTCCATTGCTTTAATTGCTTCGGTGAAGTAAATTAAAACATCTGTTATGACTTTCATTTTCTCTTGAGCTTACCAAAGAATGTGTTCAACATCGCATAATTATAATGATTATCTGCGACATGTTTGATATTAACTATCTTGAAATTGTAAAATTTGTGTTATTTACAACATTGATGCTTCTATGAAAAATATTATTAAGTAATCACTAAACGAGATGTCCTTGCAATTTAAATGAAATAGCATACGAAATTTTTAAATTAATTTATTTCACATATTTCACACTGAAGTACTTCAAATGCTTTTATCCGATTTCCAATCAAAAATAATTTATTTCTAACCTTTTTCATAGAGTTGACAGTGATGACATTTTTTGCCAAAAGCATAATACAATCGTTTGTTTATTTTGGAATTGTACTCGTTTTAAAGGCTTGTCAGGGCTCTTTCAATTTAGTTAAGCGGAAATGAATTCCTGTAATACCTTTATTTTATAAATAATGCTACATTGTTTGATGTACAAAATCAACCATAATGCGAATTCTATATTTTTGAACTGTTTTATGGGTTGTCCTCTGTTACCATAGCAACATTTAGCGTACAATCATGAATGCATCAAATTCAAATGAAGAGAGGCTGAGGCAAACTCAGCTTAGTAAAGATCAGATATGGATGGACATGATTAAAAAAGAATTAAAACATCAAAAATTATACACTGAATTTACTCAGAATCCCTACTCTAAAGGTTCTTTTCAATTGATTAGTTTATTTCTTAGTGTTTGTTTACACCGAAAAGCCAAATGTTAATTCTAGAGTAGAAGAAACTGATGGTTGGTTTTATGTTTTCATATAATTACTGTAGATAGTTTAAGTAGAATGATTGAGCGATCGCGCTTAGTTCCTAGAAAAAAGTTTTCTGAGCCACAAACAGAAAATCAAGAGTATGGGTGGATTTCAACGCCACTTGTAGGTTTTATTTTCAATGTTTAATTTATCGCTCTAGTTTGAAAGATCAAGGGACGATAGAAGATTCTTTTTTGGCAAAAGAGAATGCGATATTGCAAAAGTTAATCCTAAGAAAAATGACAATAACTAATTCATTCTTGCTACATTTTTCTTGAACTTGCTCTTTAAATTCTTGTGCTTGACGAAATGCATAATATGCTCATTGTTATTGCTTCAATTTGTTTGAATTCATTAGCCAAGCGGGTTTTTTATTTCAATAGTTATGGGTGACACTATTTTTACCTTCCGGGCCAACGCTGATGTAAATAAACGCCTCGTTATCGAACGCAGCATGGTTAAGAAAATTCCAATATAGTAGAGTTTTAATGGAATTCACATACGATTTTCACACATTATTTAGGATTTCTCCTGAGGAATGCCTCTGAGTTAAGATGCTTCTAACGATGGCACAGGTTTCAGCGTCCGCCATTGCAAGTGATTGCTTTGGGCATAAATATGAATATGTTAAAATAAGCAGAAATTAAAGAAGAAAAGTTTTATGATAATGCAAATTTGTTTTGTAAAGCCAAACAATGTCATTCACCTTCTCTGCTTTGGAAATGGCCGTCGGCTTTCACAAGGTTGGTGCACCCTGGACAACGTATCTTCGTACGGCAAAAAAGTCTATCACTAGGCATTTGATTTGACTTCAATTTATTATGATTAGCTTGAAAAAAAGGCTATAAGAGAAATTGCCCTCGTCAGGGCGAATCACAGCGTCTTCAGATCCTCCAGTGGAATGCTGGGGGGATGTCACGGGACAAAAAGATCCAAGTACAGAAAATCCTACAAACCTATGATGTAGACATTTTCACAATTATGGAAGCTAACATTTCGGATGACAAACTGAAGTATTACCAATTCCCAGGTTACACCCTGTACAATCTACCTAAATACCGGCAAGTTGCAAGTGGAATTCTAACTGGAGTAAAAGATGGCCTCACCTCACAC